AAGGGAAAATCCGCTGCAAGATCTAATATTAATTCCTCTATTTCAGAGAGGCCTCTGAAGGCCAAAGGAGTAGGAAAGAAGAAAACAGAGAAGACCCATTCTTTGTCTAAACAATCATATCTGGATAGGAAGTTTGTTAGAACTACCAATGCTAGGGATGATTGTAATAATTTATTCTTTAAATCTAATAAATCATTTTGCCATTCAAAATGTGTTTAAAATTGTGAATGTTTCTCTCTGCTGTGCAAGTTAAAGCAGCATTTCTCTGATCTCAACTGTCTTCTCTCTGGGTCATCAAGGACCAAATCCAAGAAGACCCAGAAGAGAAAGAAGGCTCCTAAAGCCAAGTTTGGTAACTCAGGTGAAGAGACGAAGCCTCTCCCAAGCCTAAAAAGCTATCCTATGTCTCTAATCATCGTGGACCCATTATGAAATGGGTACCTAAATCCCTATAATTTGTTTTGCAGAAGCCGCATGTGGACATTTGGTATCTTGACACCGAATGCTCAAGACACATGACCGGCAATAAGAGGTTGCTTTCCTCATACAGAGAGAAGATTGGAGGAAAAGTGACATTTGGGGATAATATGCAAGGATAAATAAAGGATATAGATATCTACTACATGGTAAGTTTTCTATCTCTAAGGTTGCTTATGTCTCTGGGCTTAAACATAATCTCTTGAGCATAAGTCAACTATGTGATTTTGGCTACAATGTCAAGTTCCAAAAGGAAGCTTGCTCCATTATGTCAGAATCAGGTCAGAAGTTGCCAAGAGCCAATAGAAAGGGCAATCTCTATCTCATGAACTTCTCACCAAGAGATAATTCAGAGACTCTCCGTCTCGTGTCTCGCAAGTGTGAAGAAGCGTGGCTCTGGCACCACAAGCTGTCTCATCTCAGTTTCCAAAATATAGAGAAGCTTGTGAAGAATAATTTCGTTGACGAACTTCCTACCATAAAGTTCGAAAAGGACTATCTCTGCTCTGCATGTGAATGGGAAAGCTCAAAAGAGCATCCCACAAAACTAAGACAGATGTGTCCTGTATCAGACCTCTGCATATGCTTCATGTGGATCTTTGTGGCCCAATCTCTGTGTAGAGCTTGTTTGGTAAGAAGTATATCTTAGTCTTAATTGATGAATACTCACTATATACTTGGATTGAATTTGTAAGGAAGAAATCGGATATCCTAGAGATACTAATCAAGTTGATGACCAAGATGCAAGTACTTGTACAGAGAAAAATTCAAAAGCAGAGAAGTGATAATGGAACAGAGTTTAAGAACGCCAAGATTGATGCGTATTTGGACACATAGGGCATTACTCAGAACTTCTCTGCAGCAAGGACACCACAACAAAATGGTGTGGTAGAACGAAAGAATCGAACTCTGGTCGAAGCAGCAAGAACCATGATAGCCAGCTCTGGTCTTCCAACCCGTTTTTGGGTTGAAGCCATCTCGACCGCTTGCTCTATTCAAAATAGAGCAACGGTGGTAAAGAGGCATATGAAGACTACTTATGAACTAATCAACCAAAGAAAGCCTAACGTTAAATTTTTGCATGTTTTTGGTTGCAGATGCTTCATCCTGAATGATCGAGATCAACTTGGCAAGTTTGACAAGAAGGCAGATGAAGGCAAGTTCCTTGGTTATTCCACCAAAGCCAAGGCATACAGAGTCTTCAATCAACGAACCAAGATGATCATGGAAAGCATCAACGTCTCGTTCGACGATAAAGAACTAGTGACTTCAGAGTACCTCAGCTTTGGACTCGAGCTTAACAAACAGACTTCCAATTCTCAAATGAAGTCAAGGGAATTGGAACTCAAGCTCTTATTTGAAGACTTCTATGGCAATGAAGACATCTCTGTACGTGCAACAAGAGATGAATCTGCGAGTGTAAGTGAGGAACCACAAACGACAAGTACATCTGACTTTGGTCCTTCACACACCTCTGCTTCCTCTGGTGATCATGCCAACCCACATCCAGAGGAAACAAGCTCTGCATTAGAGCCTAGTCTCATAGATCCAGAGCATAATACCTATGGTTCTGCACCTGGTTCCTCTGTACCATCATCCGAGGGCGAGCAAGCAGAAACTTCCTCGCCATCATCGAGCTCAAGGCCGAATATGCCTATGGAGCATGATCAAACGTCCCCTACTTCTGTATCTGTCCCAAGAACAAGATGGACAAAGGATCATCGTCTTCACCAAATCATTGGTGAACATTCAAGCGGTGTAAAGACAAGGGCTGCCACGGCTAATGAATGTTTATTCGTAAACTTTCTAAGCATGGTAGAGCCTAAGAAAGTCCATGAAGCCCTTCAAGACCCTAGTTGGGCCGACGCCATGCAAGAAGAGCTCCAACAATTTGAGAGGAATAAGGTATGGACTCTTGTACCTTTGCCAAAGGAAAAAATTGCAATTGGTTGTAAATGGGTTTTCAGGAACAAGAAGGATGAGGATGGGATCATGGTAAGAAATATAGCTAGGCTCATAGCAAAAGGCTATTGCCAGGAAGAAGGCATCGACTATGATGAGACCTTTGCGCCAGTAGCAAGGCTAGAAGCTATACTCTTGTTCTTAGCCTTCTCTGCACATAAGGGATTCAGAGTCTATCAAATGGACATTAAGTCAGCCTTCTTGAATGGTAAGCTGAAGGAGGAAGTCTACGTTCAACAACCTCCAGGGTATGAAAGCTCCACACACCTAGAGTACGTCTACTTCTTGGACAAAGCTCTGTATAGACTTAAGGAAGCACCTCGAGCCTGGTATGAACGTCTCTCGTCTTTTCTCATGTCTAATGGTTTTGAAAAAGGTAAAATCGATACTACTTTATTTATTAAGATATATAAAGGTGAGATGCTCTTAGTACAGATCTATGTGGACGACATTATCTTTGGTTCAACGAACCAGAGGCATTGTGATAAGTTCTATGCATTGATGAAGAGCGAGCTTGAAATAAGCATGATGGGAGAATTAACATTCTTCCTCGGCTTGCAAGTAAACAGAGGGAGGATGGTATTTTCATTAGCCAAGCTAAGTATGTCTCTGACATATTAAAGAAATACCAACTCCACAACTCTTCCACCATGAGAACACCAATCGCTACGGGAACTAAGCTTGACACAGATCCATCTGGAAAACCGGTGGATGTTAAGACTTACGGTGGAATGATTGGATCACTACTATACCTCACGGCTAGTAGACCAGACATCATGTTTGCTACATGTCTCTGTGCTCGATTTCAAGCAAACCCAAAGGAATCTCACCTTTCTACTGTGAAAATAATCTTTAGATACCTTAAGGGAACTCAATTTCTAGGTCTCTGGTATCCAAAGCATTCTGGTTTTGATCTTATTGCGTACACAGATTCTGATCATCCAGGTTGTAAACTTGATCGAAAGAGTACATCATGGAGCTGCTAATTACTTGGAGACAAGCTCATAAGATGGACCTCAAAGAAGCAGAACTGCGTCTCTACTTCCACAACTGAAGCAGAATATGTAGCTCCAGCCAGTTGCTGTTCCCAAGTGATATGAATGAAGACTCAACTATGTTTTCTCTTCAAGTCCTATACAAAACCACGAGTCTCTGTATGAGATCCTAAGGTATGTTTTCTCTTCATGTAGTACTCTGGTTCTTTTCAAAACCTTTATTTTTCACAAACCAGAGTATTAACACTTGTCAAATTTTTTTTAAAAATTCAAAATATATTATTTTATTAAGAAGGCGTACGGTTCTTTATTTTTAATATTTTTAAATGACTGTCATTTAAACTGCGTCACCGCCTGTGAGCTTAATTTTTCAAACGTGAGAGGCGCCACTTGCAGCTGGCAGTCCACATGGCGCGTCCCCACAGGCTGTTCAAAAACCGCTTCAATTTTTAATCTGACGTTTGGGGCGCAATTACTCGAGTACTTTATTTTTTCTATTTAAACAAATTATCTACCCACAAATTACTCTTTACGCTTACAAAGAAATTCAAGAACTGTCGTCGTCTTTAACCTCCAAACCGCCATTATTCCTTCTTCAAGCTTTCATACCAGTTACTAGAACACCATTTTGTGAACGAATCATCATCCCGTTTGTCAAGTAAGTTCTATTAATCCTTTTCTTCACCCATTTTAAGAATCAAGAACTAATTCTTGAAACCCTAGCTTTCTTCAAACCTTTCTTTTTCACCCAAAAACCTGCAACTATGTCGTCTTCTGAGTCTGGAAATTCCCAAACACACACCACAACCCACAAAACCGTTGAGGAAACCAGTCAAAACTTGGTTCTTTTTCCAATCAAACCCAATAACCATGCCCTCCACCTCTCTCTTGAAAACTTTGACCAAAAATACCACCCAATCATCAACATCCTCCAAAATCACTTCCTAAACCCTGCTTTGACAAACAAGGATGACCTTGTACCTGAAAGGTATATCCAAGAATACTGGCAATCTTGCGCCATTACTGACTCTCAAAGAGGAATCGTTGGAGATTTTTATGTCTCATCCTCAAAGGAATTTGTCACTGTTCACATATCTAGGTCCATATTTTCGCATGTTCTTGAAATCCCAACGAAAACAGACCTAGGGCTTGCTGAGTACGCCCCTCTCCCATCTGGGGATGAGATCATGGCCTTCTTGAAATTTTTGGGGTACAACAAGGCAATCCAGTACCCGTCACAATATCGTCGTCAATATCTACCTCCAATATGGAATACATTGTTCACATTGGTCAACAGATCCCTGACAGGGAAGATTTTGGAGCCTCGACATGTGCTCCACGAACATTATGCAAATATTGTATGGCATCGTCTTCGACTTATCTTTGGATTACTCCTTGATACTCTATACAGAGTTCAAGGCTACTATGGCCAAGAAATGTCAAGAAGTGGCCAAAAGAAAAGAACTTCAAACTCTGTTGTTTCCGCGCTTCTTGGGTCTTCTCCTAAGGCCTGCTCTAGACGACAACAATATCGATGTGGGTCATCTGCCCGCGTATAAAGTGAACATGCTGACTCACTATAGGCCAACAGTCAACAAGGAGGGCAATGCAACAAAAAGGCCCATTCCAAAGAAGCTATATGCATATATGAAGACGAAGAAGATTAGTAGAGCGTACAGACCAACATGCGAGGCACTAGAACTAGTGCCTCGAACCCCGGTATGCATAGGAATAGCTGAAGAGGAAGAAAGAACAGAGGACACCTTAAGGCCTCAAGCAGAGGAAGAGGTGGTGAGAGTAGAGCGAGAGAGGGAGGAACAAAGAAAACGAGAGGAGGCGAAGAAAAAGAAAATAGAGAGGGAGAGGAAGAAAAGGGCAGAAGCAGAGCAAGCAGAGCAAGAGAGATTGGCTGAACTTGCTCGTAAACAAGAAGAGGCAGAGCGAGCAGAAAAAGCTCAACAGGATGAGATAGCTCGCTTAAGGGAAAAGGCTAGATGCAGAGTAGAGGAAGAAGCTCATCAATCCTCTAGCTCTAACCACGATGATGACCAAGAGTATTTCGATGATGCTGCTAGGTCTTACAATTCTAGTGAGGAGAGTGAGGAAGAAAAAGAAGAAGAGATTGAGAGTGAAGAAGAGGAAAGTGAAGAAGAAAAAAAGGGAGGAGGTGCAGCAGCTACTCTGCCTCAGGATGAGCCAGAGCAACCCAGGGTAAATAAGCACATCCATTTCGACACCCCAACTCCCAGTGCAAACAAATCATTTGACTATGGTGGTCGAGACACGAAAGTCATTGAAACAGAGGTGCGCACCTCGAACCCAAACCAGCCTATCCAACCAGAGGTCTCATCTGCCTCTGGTTATCACAGCCAAAGGGAAGCCACACCACAGGGAACACCCTCTCAAAAGGGTGCAACCTTTGAACATATAAGTGATATGTCTTCCCATATCATGCTACTTTCCCATACAGAGGAATTTGTTTCCTCTACACGTGTAGACTCCCAACCTTGTTCAGAGCAAGGAATAGGTGCACAAGACTTGGAGACTCTTGACCAGTCTCCTAGTCCACTCATGGAGAGTCCTCTGGCTGGTTCTGAACCATCCTTGGATACTCTCCCTAATAGAACAGCAGTAGTGAATTCTCCTCACAGAGAACCACAAGGATCCGCTGGAAGTCCTTCCCCGACCAACATCAACCAAGTCGAATGAAGGCATCCCTGGAACGGGGACTCAATCTGGCCCATGTGTTGAACCAGAGGTTACTCAACCAACATATGTCACAAGGGAAGAGTTCCATTCCCTTGTCACCTCTGTGCGGTGCTCCTTGGAAGAGCTAAAACTCATCTTGGCCCGTGCAGAGCCATCCCCTTCTGCACCTGCTYTGGATGAGATACGAGCATCCTTGGCAGTATTGAGAGCTGAGTCTTCGACAAATGCTTTTCGTCTTGATACTTTGATGGAATTAACGGCACACAATGCAGAGGCCTTGAAAGAGGTCATAACATCCATGAAGAGGGGTGAGGTATCCACTTCCCAAGATGCCCAGGCGATCATCCCTCTGAATGTACCTGTGGACCATGTCACTCAGAGCGCAATGAATGCTCTGGGTGACAGACTTCTATAGAAGGTGGCCAACTTCACTTTTGATTTCAACAACAAAGCCACCAAAACAGCGGCGGCCATCACACTCTCTCTGGCCAAGTTCAACTATCGATCAGACATCGAGATTCAACGTGTTGGCGATGCAGTCGAAGATCTCCTCAAAGTCTTTGAGGAGAAAATCAAGTCTATGCCTCAAGCAGAGGAGTCGAGGCTAAAAAGACAAATGAACTCTTCTCTATGTGTTGAGCCATCAAAGAAAAGACGACTTGATGATGATGAGGAACCAGACCAGTCTGGTCCTCAAAATCGTCAAGAGGGGGAGAACTATCCAACAGTCATTCCAAGTGTTACACCTATAGTTGCCCCCTCTGCACCAACGTCCTCTGCCCCTCGCCAACCAGCACAAGATCCTTCAAGGCAGAGGGCACAAAGCCAACCAGCGCTAGAACAAGAAGAGGCGCTTCGCAAAGGGAAGATGCCCATGGCATCTCAGTTTGAGCTATCAAGCAACCATTCCAAGTGTTACACCTACAGCTGCCCCCTCTGCACCAACGTCCTCTGCCCCTCGCCAACCAGCACAAGATCCTTCAAGACAGAGGGCATAGAGCCAACCAGCGTCAGAACAAGAAGAGGCGCTTCGCAAAGGGAAGATGCCTATGGTATCTCAGGCAGAGCCAACCGGGCTACAAAAGAAAACGAAAGTGATATATCTTCTATCTATCTATGAATCAGATGATTCAGATCTGGCTCTGTCTTCATCAATAGAATACGCCATGGACACGGCTGCTCCTACATCCAGAGGACAAGAAGAAGAGGTGGTAGCTGTGAATGTAGCTGATCCATCACTTTTGCGCATTCCAGTTGCCGTTCCTCTAGAAGGCAATTATGTTGCTGCTCCTCCACCACAACAACATACACACAGATCTAGGGTCCCTGCTCAAGGGACCAGGGTAGTCACTCCTACTATGAGGCAGCGGGTACCTGTCAAACCTACCAGAGCAGACTTAGAAGGCGCAAGCAGCAGGCCGAAATGGAAGCATCCCTCTGATCGTGTCCAAAAGATCAAGAAAAGCATGGATGCAATGTTTACACCAACACCCCTTGATCAACCAATTAAGGACAAAGCAGACAGCGAGGATATCTACCAGTTCCTCTACAACCTACGAAAAGAGACGCCGGTCCAAAAAATCAGTCTTCATCCAATGGTTCAAGAGCATATCAGGCAGAGATTCCTAGATCGCTACACTCATGCCATCTCTGTAGTCCATTTCGTCGATGGCATCAAGAAAGTCATCGACATCAAGAAGCGTACTTTTGTGCATAACCAGATTATCTTCTATGAGTATACGGTGGAGAGGTCTCACGGACAGATCTGCATGTTCACAGATTGTGACCTTATAAATCTGAATCCGTGGGATCTTCTCTCTCTGTTTTACTTCACAGATCACAAAAAGGACAAGGGGGTCAAATACGTTGTTGCCAACTCTGCCATACGCCAAACGATGACAAACCTGCTCGACTTCAGATGCAAGTTTGATTTCCAACTACCTCTGGATCTAGGAGTGGATCAATTGACTGTCACTGCACCAAATGAAGATCTCTAGGGCATCAATATAATTTCTTTTTGGACTGTATTGGTGGAACCATAAATGGGAGTGGTGTTTCGAAACGCGCAATAAATGGAAGATCTCTAGCTCAGAGTTTCAAGCCTATTTTATAGCATAGTTTGATAGACCTAGGCGAATAAGGAGGCTTTCGCCTCAGGTTTAAATAACCTGAAGGAGCGACTTATACTATACGTATATTATGTGAGATTATGTTTTGCTTCAATTGTTCATCGTTTTATCAATAAAAGCATTCGACATATTCAAGTTTACTCATTGTTTTTACTTTCATCTTGAATATTTCGTTTAATTATTCAAGTTACATTGTTTGCGTTTAATTCTCATCTTTTATAAACTGTGTTTCTACCAAGTAAGAGTATATGGGTTCAACACATATTCAAAGGCTGTTTTTAAATAAACACTCACCTTTTCAAGATTGATTTTGAAGATGGAAAATGCAAATACGGATCAAAATTGATTCCTACTTTAGACTCCAATGAAAACCACAGAAACTCTCAATTTCTTTTCAAAATGGCAAGTAGCATGCCTTCTCCTAACCCTTCCATTTTTATACCTTTCCATAAATAGAAAGGCGGTTTAAATAATATGTATTATAAAACTTCTTTTAACACACCATGTATATACATCATACGCATGCAAATAAATTCATGCACACAAATACCACATATACTTCTATGCATACAAAGCATGCATATATGCGCATAGTCACTTATTGATCTCCTGAAAGCATGTACCCATATGATTAATTATAACAATTAACCACATATTCATGTAATCATATATCAAATAATCACATAATAATTACCTCATGTGATAACCAAGACCAAGTTATCACAATATTATATTTGGTTCAACGAATCATAGTTATTGTGACAAGTTCTCTGATTTAATAAAGAGTGAGTTTGAAATGAGCATAATGGGAGAAATAACTTTCTTCCTCAGTTTCCTTGTAAAACAAACTGAAGAGGGCATTTTTATAAATCAAACCAAGTATGTCTCTAACATCTTGAAGAAATAAAAACTTCATAACTCAACAACTATGAGAACACCAATCGCCACGGGTACTATGCTTGACGCTGATCCATCTGGAAAATCGGTGGTTGTCAAAAATTACCAGGGAATGATTGTGTCGCTTATGTATTTCATGGCAAGTAGGCCAGATATAATGTTTTCTACATGTCTCTGTGCTAGATTTCAAGCAAATCCTAAAGAATCTCACTTGTCTGCGGTTAAAAGAATCTTTAGATACCTCAAAGGAACTCAATATTTGGGTCATTGGTATCCAAAGCATTATGGCTTTGATCTTATTGCTTATATATAGATTCTGATAATGCAGGGTGTAAGCTCGATAGCAAGAGCACATCGGGAAGCTGTAAACTATTTGGAAACAAGCTAGTGAGTTAGACATCCAAGAAGTAGAATTTTGTGTCAACATCTAGTGCAGAGTAGATTATGTTGTTGTAGCAAGTTGGTGTTCATAGGTCATATGGATGAAGACTCGACTCAAAGATTATGGTATCGAGTTTGAAAAGATTCCCATTCTATGTGACTCACAGAGTGCAATAGCCAGAACTGCAAACCATGTACAACACTCAAAAACCAAGCACATCGATGTTCGCTACCACTTCATCAAAGACAATGTAGAGAAAGGTACTATCCAGATGTACTTTGTTTCAACAGATTTCCATCTTGCTGATGTCCTTACAAAAACAAATTGATGAAAAGAGATTCAATTTTCTAATTAGCAATTTGGGTATGCTCAACATGCAATAAAGAGCCAGAGCCTCTGTATGTACTATTCAGATACAGGCCTAGATCATTTGTACAGACAAACGTTTTGATTGCTAAGATCCAAAGTCGAGACAGCGGAAGGCAAAGAGCCGATAAGCCGATGGTGGGTTCTGGTAAGCAAGATACCTTTTGTCAGGCAATCTAGTAGATCCTTCTTTCATCGAGTCATAGGCAAGTAGACTACCTCTGTATTCAAAGTTGGCATATATCTGTTCTTTATTATATCCATCTTGGTCATCTCTCAAAATTTTGTCATACAGAGCCTCCATACCTTAAACTATTGCTCATGCATATTTTATCATATTTTGCTCCAAGCATGGTTTAAGGGGGAGGAAAGCCTAGCACATCAATCAAGGGAGAGAGTTGAAATTCCATGACCCAGAGCCTCTGTATGTACTATACAGAACCTCTGTGTCATCAAGTTAATTCGTGATGATCAGAATCTCTGTTATGCATCCATGAGTCTTTGGATAACTCAAAAGGTATGTTATCTTTCATTCTTGAAATAATTTTGGTGCTAATAAAACCTACTCTGGTTTCAAAATCTTTATGATCTATCATTTCAACTACATTCCAATATACAAAGCCTATGTATAGTACATACGGAGCCTCTTCATGTACTATATAGAGCCTTTGTATCTAGAATACAGTTCCTCTGTTATAAGCGGGTTTTCTGCAAACCTGGGTCAAGGTAATCTTATGTGTTTATTATGTGAGTTATGTGATAGCATGCATATTATCCTAAGTATAAATACATGGATTGAATATGTGCAATAAACATGATGCATGTATGAATTATCTGAAACATATATGAGGTGGTGCATACATGTGATAGAATATTTTGGTGAAAAATATTATTATAATGTTTTAAAAACTCATACTTTCATGACTAAGAAATCATAAGTTTTATAATAAAAACCCACCGCCTAAATTACTCTTATTGATTAAAGCCTTCACCGCCAATAATTTTATAATTATAGAAATTATCACCACCTTTGTTAGAAATATATATATAAAAGAGGAAAAGATAAGATCTTATCTTATCTTTATTTTGAAAAGAAACCTTTTGAGAGGAAGAAAGGTTATGTGTGGCGGATGGAAGTATATTGAGAAAGATTTCTACACAAAAAGTGATTTGAAGATTTACTATGTACTTATAATATGCAGAATCTGCGCCTGTTAAGGTGAGTTTTTAAACTACTATCGATTATAAACTGTGTGATTTTATAAACTGTTGAGTTTTGTTAACTTGAGAATTAGAAAAAAATTGGTATAACTATTTCTAAACAGTTTTTTTTAAAGAAATATTTTATGATTCTGAAATTGGAATCTGGTTTGAGGAAATTTAAGCAGAAACTGTTCTTTAAAACAGTTTTGGGGAATAATACCCTGTTTTGAGAATTTAAAGAGAAACCGAAGATTTTAGAAATCATATGCAGAGCAGATTGTTCTGGTGATTTAAAGGGTTTGAACATAAATCTGTTTTGAGGATATGATTGATTAAAACTATGAACGAGGTTCACTCTGACAGAATTGACTTCAGCCTATCATTGGATGAAATAGTTCATAAGATTTTCATGGGAAATAAGGATGGTCGTTGTGTATA